TGATTTTTCTGAACGTTTGAAAAGTGTTAGTTGTTTGTTGCAAGTTTTCTCACGTCTGAAGACGATCAAGGGACCCTGCCTCGAAAATTTACACAATAAAATTTCATTTTTCCCAAAGAAGCCTTTATCTTTATAATTTAATATCTTGGGATGCCCATATTCCAGTAAATGTCTTACTAGAGCGTAGATAGCAACATATAATCGGCCATGCATATGTGGCCTTATTGCAGTATGAAATTAGCAAAACTACAAGGATTTCTGAATCTCTGATTTAAATACTTCGTGGACGGTGGTGTAATAAAGGGATTATATATATTCAAGAACAGTTAATAACGAATTATGGGGGCTAGAATTACCTGTTTCGGCTCATATCCCACCACAAGGCCGACCCCTAATCGCGCCTTCAGACACCTCCAGATCGTTACAGAAGGCAAGATAGAATTGAACAATATTCCATCTGAGCTTAAATGTCAAAGAAAACGGCAAATTGGGGTGCCTTGCGAGTTGCAATTTAGTTTCGATTTGCCGCCTATTGCGTACTCAAATTTACAGGGGTGGATCTATTCAGGAGTCTGTTCATTTAAGCACTGACCCAAAGCACATCAAGGTCAAAAATGCCACTTTATTTCAATAGACCTTACTGATAAGATCAGTTAACGAACATTTCCAGGCTACCTACTGTAATAGGTGTACCGTGCTGAAAGCCAAAACACATTTTTCAGATAGCTTCAACCCTTTTCTGGTACTCATACTTCGAGAAATACTTGGTCAAAATGCAATCCGTGACCAAAGTGACTGGTTGTCATTCCGCATTCGGTGTTTATTCGTGTTTGTAAATATATGTCATTATTTAATAAGGAAGAACACATTATCCAAACGCTTTGTGCGTGCCTATTATTGTGCGAAGTAAAGGGAGCGGATGGAAGAGGATAAAAAGTTGTTATGGAAGTTACTGCAGTTTGTATTATTTACATCCTTACCTCCTTCCCAAACCTGCACATGCAGGCCTCAAAAACTACAACACATTGAACCATATGGATATATAGGCAATGCAAGCATAGTTATCTCTAAAGATGCAAACATCAATAGTCATAAAAGTTTGGTCTTCTAAAAACGTGTCTAACATAACGTAGCATACTCTTTGAGGAGCGTTCACCTGACCGCTAACGAAACTTATCTATCTCGTTGTGCATTGGACCTCGACAGAGTTCCTGATGGTCACAACAACTGGTACTAGGCAGATAGTATTGCCACCAAAGACAAGGGAGACTGAAATGGCCCTTTCTGGCTTATTAGCCGTCGTCAGCCAGACATACTCAGACCCAATTCGTGCCCCACTCGAGCCTCGAACTCGCGACCTTTTGATCAGAGTCAAAAGCCCTAACCATCAAGCCACGAGTTCGTTGCCTTGCCAATTTACGTCCGGGGATATAAACACTCATTGATGAACTTTCCTCTGACTCCTAACGGAATGCCCCTGTCCCGCTCGGTTAGGACACCACTGAGATCTGTGTATGACTGGCCGACGATGGCTAATATGCTAGAAGTGGCCATTCCAGTCTCTCTTGCCCTTGCCAGCAATTCCATCTATAATTATCACACTGTTTTCTCTCAGGTACTGGTTAAACGTTCATTGTTTACTACCTCTGCCATTTTGGCATCATAACATCTCGAATCCTGTCTCAGATCCAACCGATGTCGAAGCATTCGACCAAACTGACAGCAGTATGCGCGTCCGCTGGACTCACGACTCTGACAATACATCTGGCTTCCTTGCGATCGCCACGTCATCGCTCAATCTGGCTGCCACTACTGCACATACCTGCGAGGTGACTCCAAATCAACCGATTTCTGAATGCCAGTTCGTAGATCTGCAGCCTGGCACGCCCTATAAAATCACCGTTAAGGCCTACTCCTCCGCAGACGCATACAGCACTGGTTCCGACGGTGGGATTCACTACACCCTCCCCAGTGGTAGGTCGGAGCCCCTGCCTCTTTATAATCTCCTAAGTGGATGGCTGATGATTTTGAAATTTTTACGGGCGAAACACATTGTCTTAAGCGCCCACTGCCTACTTTCCTTCTTAGCTCCAACCGACGTGGTCGTGAGTGACGTGCTCGCCAGAAGTTTTCAACTCAACTGGACTCCTGTCAAAGCAATCGTAGACAATGGATACAGTTACGTGGCGACAGCGCAACCACTACGAGTAGCTGTCACCAATGGCACCTCTACAGATGGTCAACTAGCAGAGGTACTCGACTGCAAGACGACAGCCACGTCCTGTAGCTTGGTTGGTCTTGAACCGGATACTGCTTACGCAGTCAGTGTGAAGGTCTGCACAGCACACAGCCCCTGTAGTGTGTCCTCGGTGTCAGTAACTCAGACAACTGCTCCACTGAGTAAGTTTTATGTGCAAATTTTGGTATTATTTTTGCGAAGTCGAGTACGCACGCTAGTGAGATGAATTTATGCGCAGGTGAACTGAGAGTCTTTTCAGCGCGTCAGTGGGGAAAAAAAGAAGAAATCGATTGGGTTCGTAACTGCTAAAGCTAAGTGAAGGTGGAAGTGATTCGTCGTCTCAGGTGGCCAGGCGCAGCTCCAGAAAACACAAATCCTTCCTCCTGTGTCACGAATGGATGTCAGCCGAACTCACAGTATCGCCTTTGAACTCCCTATTGATACATAGTAGTGAAGAAATGCTTCGGTGCGGCAGCACATTTCAAAAGAAGTCGTTTAGATAATTGAAGGTTAAAGTCGTTTAATTCTGAACGGTAAACATACACCACTACTCACCTGTTTTAAGTACTATAATCACATGTGGTGATTTCAGCTAACACTAGCCAGTAGGTGTAATTGAGCAAAAAGAGCACACAGTGAAAAAAAATCCGAAGGCATGGCTCAGAAATCCTAGGAGACGCAATGTCTTTTGTGGGATTTTAGGAGAAAAATCCATTTGCGGAACTTCATCCACTTTTTATAACGCAGTTACAGATCTCTTTGCCTTTTGTCTTTGATCCTACTCCTGAACTACTTGGAAAAGTTAATGATGCTGATAACGCAAAGAAGTATGCTCTCAAAATGTGTGCTAAGCGCGCCCCTCGGTCTTACGGGCTCCTGATTTTAGAGAAGAGGACGGGTGGAGCATGTCAGGGAACAAATAATTTCGCAATAATCCCGTAAAATATAATAGTTACGAGGGTGAGTTCGGGCGCATACTCAAACCTCGGGCGGGGACACAGAAGTACGCTTTAATAGCATCGCTAACCCTCCAGCGGACCAATGGCAAGCGCGTGTATGTAGGGGAGTGTGCCCCAACCCCGTACGAGGTAATTGAAGCACATTTTATAGAAGTACCGCTAAGCCCAACTGGAATAAAGGTTAAAGAGTGCAGAAGTTGGAAGATTGTGGAATTCACCCTATTTAAAATTAGTAGGTAAGCCAATACTCCGTGGTTAATTTGAAAAACCTTTTTTGTTAAATATACTGGCTTAAGCGGTTATTGTATGCAGTGGCCTTCCGAGGACCCTTTTGTAGTTCAATGCCATCATCTGATCCCTACTGGGTCGAATGCCGGCGTGCAGAAAACTGGAAGATTGTGAGTAATTCAACCTACTTAAAATTTGTAAGAAAGCGGTTATAATACACATGGATGCTTCTGCGACCCCAGTAGGTACTCTCACCATGCATTTTTATGGATTTTGATGAACAAACCTTTTCCGAATCCGGTTATCACGTGAAACATCCATGAATTGACTGGTGTTCTAAATATGTTGCCCCCTACTCAATGAGTTCAATCCTTGGAATCTTCATACAAATCATTATCCAAATGTGTCAAATGAAATGGCTGAGAAGTGGCTTATTATGAGCTGCAGAGCAATCGCCATATTTGTCTCCTCCAACCTCCAACTTCGCCAATTCCCACTGGCGGAATTAAATGATTTGGGTTCAATTTTCCGCTACTCGCATTACTTTTAAACGGTATACCTTTTCTACTTTAACGATATAAGTAGCACATTTTATGTTTATTTTCTAGGTCCGAGTTCTCCCCGTCTGGACACTGTCACTGACAAAACAGCCCGGGTTTCCTGGGAAGAATTGATCAAAGGAGACTCTTTAGGGCTCACCTACGTGGCTGCCGCAATGCCCCTTAGTGGTGGTTCAGGAGTGGAATGTGAGAGTCAAGGTCAATTCGGCATCCAAACATCCTGCATTCTTGACGGTCTGGCGCCGCAGACGAATTACAGTGTTAGGGTCAAGGCTTGTAATTTGCCCGGGCTTTGTAGCACACCTTCGGAACGGAGCAGCTTTCAAACCAGACCATCAGGTATGGGGATATGTTTTCGAGCTTAAACAAGGCGCAGATTACGCTTTGGTGATGCAAACAAGTAGGTACCTGATACATTACTTTATGTGGTTAGCCATGGTATTAATAGGGAGCTTGCGAATAGTACCGTCGGCAAAAACAATGGAGACTGGAATAGCCGTTTCTGCCTCATTAGCCGTCGTCAGCCAGTCATACCAAGACCAAAGTGGTGCTCCAATCGAGCCCCGAACTCGCTACCTTTTGATTTGAATCGAACGCCCTAAACATTGAGCTACGAGCTCGTTGTCTCCTCGATTTATGTTATAACCTTGGTTAATCTCACCTGCATCGCCACTGTTATAACCTTGTGTATTCCTGTGTCAACACAGGTTATTTCCCGCAGTTGCGTATTAGGAAGAGAAGACAGACAGGATAGCAGATAGTATTTTACTGTTACTAGTTCTGCTTGTACATCAGCGTTGTCTTCTGCGTGTGTCCGTGAGCAACGTGTCTTCTGTCGTCGGTCCCGTCTAGGTAGCTTATCCTTTGTCCTCAGTAGCAGAATGTCGGGTTGTCGGTAGCGCGTATCGGCAACAAAGTGCACCTCCTATTTGCGGCGTCGTACCAACAGCCTTTGTTCCCTATTTGCCTCTCCGCTAGTGGCCAATGAAGGCAGGCATGGTGGTGTCCACCGCGTGACAGCCCGGTGGATGTTCACGCGTACGTATAACCTTGCGTCCTCGCGTGACCTCACGGATGGCAGACCCCGGCCACTGTTCTCGTGTCCTCAGGACGGCCCGAGTTATGACTCGGCCGTCCTAACAATTTAGGTCAGGGGATATTGACACTCGTTGATGAACACTGACCTGACCGCTCACGGAACTTATCTGTCCTGTTCTGCCTTTAGCCTTGACGGAG